TATTCGTTTATATTTATTTTATATCAATTTTGAAATTTAAGAGTAATTATTTGATCTTTTTGAGATATCGAAATATTTTGTATCCATTTTTGAATTTAAGAGTAACTATTTAGTCTTTTTAAAATATGGAAATATTATATTCTGTGCGATGACAATGATTATGTATTTACTTGACTCAAAAACAAACAAAATAAAAAACAAAAAAAAAATGAGAAAATTACAAAACACTATGATATTACATTCCCATAAAACAATTTCTACCAATTTTAGGACTTGTGGACTTTTTTAATATTATATAGATGGATTTTCACTGGTAGAGGTCACGACTTAAAATTGAATGATATTAGTCATATTTTTTAAAACCAAAATCAAAATAAAAATTGAATATAAAATTGGTGAAAAGTCTAATTTATAGAGTATATAAATTATTATATTTAAAATAAATCTTATTTAGTGATAAGGATATATAAAAAAAGTCGATGGCAACCTACGGCGGTGGCCAGCTGTCGACGGCAACAAGCGATGAGGGTGAAGTAGAGAAATGTATGATATTCAACAAATAAGATGTTGACTAAGTGATGTGCCACATTTCAATAGATAAAAATAATATATTTTAACAGATAAACAAATTTGATGATTTCAAGAGATAGACCGATAGATTGATTTTAACAAATAGTTGTTGTTTTGGACAAATTCTGTCTTTTTGATCAAAAAAAGAAAAGAAAAGAAAAAATTTGACCTAATGACCCAAATGATTAAGAAATGAACTTATGGTTGGAATGCTCATTTGTTTATTCCTCAACTTTTTTACTAAGGGTGATTCTATTTATACATCATTAATACACTCAGTACATATCATTAATAGATTAAATTTATATTATAATAATATCTTCCAATGAAATGATCATTAAAGACAACATAAAGTGTATTCTACTCACCATATTTAAAAACATAAAATACTCTTCATACACCATCATCCTATAAGGCTTAGGATTTTAACATATAAACATTGTATTTTTTCATCATATTCACCATTAACCTATACTCATTATTAATTAGCTCACTTCATTTTCTTCTCCATTATATTTATTTTTTAAACTCAAAACATTATTGCCTTTGAAGATTTAAGATTTAAGAACATTGAAATCAATTAATTTTGACGATTTGCACACCATGGATGACACTGAGATGGTTGGTTCCGATATAAATATTGAAAATGTTGATTTGAACATTGAAAATGTTAGTTTATGACGTAGTTTTTTGATTTTTTATTTATTTCGTTCATGTTAGGAAGATAAGTTTGTTTGTCGTGTTCGGATAATCAGAATTGAACTTTTACACAATATTTGAATATTTACATTTGAACAAAACAATTTTATTCAAATTATTAAGATTAACCAAATATTAAATATTCATGCATAAAAAATTGAACATTTTAAGTTAGTTCGGTTAAAATAAATTAAACTTTTATTTATTGTTTAGATATAAATTTTGAACAAATTAAGTTTGTTCAACTTTGTATTTGTGACATGACTAATTTGATGAATCTGAAACGACGATGAGAGACCAGAGTTCAAGATCGACAATGAAGATCAACATCAGCGTAGATGGAAGCCGAATGAAACGCTTAGCCAGTGATTTGAAACAACGAGATGATGAGATGAGACCCTAGTGCACATGAAGGACGAATGAAACCTCCACCAACGATGGAGATCAAGACCAATAAAGATAGTCTTTGTTGATTTCTGTTTTGAAGATTGTAAAGTTTTTGTTATATGTAGTAACAAAGATGAAGAGTTTTTAATATGTATAATGATATGTATTCAAATAATTAGTGGTATGTTAATATAAAGTTAGCAATGAAAAGTTAAAGTGTAAATTAAAATATTTTTAAATCTTAAAAATTATTTTATGTGTATTAAGGAATAATATATATTGAGAGCATTAATGTGTAAATAGGATCACTGTTTACAAGATAAATTTGTCAAATTGAATTTTGTGTAGGGTAGGTTTTATCAAGCGTACTCCACCGTCTGGTGCAACCGAGAATCCAACGCATTTCAAATATAGTGATTTCTAGAAGCATTTATTTGGTACTGTAACGTGGTGCACACACGATTTTATATTAAAAAATAGTAGTGACTTTAAAAATTCTATTAAACATTATACTAAATATTTCATATGAGTGTAGGATTCATATGAGACTTACATTATGTGAGTCTCACCTCATATAAGATATTTGGTAAAAATTTTAATAGAATTTTTGGAATCACTAATATTAATCTTTTATATTTAATGATAAGATAATTACATAGGACAAAATTTGTGATTGGAGTGGCATGTGCCACGTGGTACCCAAGGGCATAATTTTTTGATGAAAAATGAGGGAGAGTATTAATTAGTGCTATCACTAATGATATGGCAGTGGACTCCACCAGGAATGATTTGATATTTTGATCTTGGTGTTGTATTTTTTTCTTTTTTTATTGAGTGCCATGTCATCAGTGGTCTTTTTAGAACTCCAAAATTAGTGGTCTATATCATTGTTGTTTTTTGATTTCTAGGTTCACCAACTTGACATTGGCGCTGTTTGGTATAGCTGTTAAAACAGATTATAGATTATAACTTAACAGATTATAGATTATGACTTTAATCAGATGTTGTTAATCTATTTGGTGTAACTGTTGGATTATAGATTTAAGTTGCTGAGTAATGTTTGTTAAATAAGCTGTGTAGTAGTTTTTTCAATTAATTTTTATTTTTTATTATTCACTATTTGTCTACATTTCTCATAAAAAATAATAATAATATTTTATAGTTCATTTGGGTCTTTTTCTATTTTTTTTTAAAAATAAAATAAAACATTCTAAGAGTATAACCGTATATTAACACGTCTACAGCAGAAGTTGATAATCAGAAGTAAGGGATGAGCAGTTTCTCAGAATCAACTTTTTTGACTTAAAATAAGCTGTTTGAATTAGAAACTGTTTGAAATAAATTTAATCAAACCGTCTAAAATAATTTTTTAAAAGCCAAAAATCATAAAATAATTTAATTAGTCGAAACATGCAGTTAGGGAAGATGATAAAGTGCCTGTTTGGCAGAAATTATTTACAGCTTATTTCAGCTTTCAGCTTAATTTAAGTTATTTTGATGTGTTTGGTTTAACTTATAGCTTATAGCTTATAGCTTTGTGGAAGTCAGAAATCAGCTTATTCTTTGAGTAAGGCAGGAGATGCTTTAAGAATAAGCTGGAAATCAGCTTAAGCTGAAAGTTATAAGCTATAAACTGTTTAGGCATAAGTTATAAGCACTTTTCCACAGCTCTACCAAACAGTCCTTTACCAAAATTGAGTTTGGTACCTCAAAATCATCAAATTAGTGACACATGTCAAAAGAAACAGTACAAACATAAAAACTAGAAAGTTTAAACCTCAAATTAAGAGTGTAATTTTAGCGGACTTAACCCGGACAATCCAAGCCTAACCTAAATTTTTTTAAGATTTAGACAAGATATTTTTTAATTCGGTACAGATTTAGACAAAAATTTAGAAGTCTGAATTAAATTTGGATGGGCTTAGACAAAGATTATATGATATTAAAATAATTTAGATTATTAAATCATATTGAATATATATTATATATACAAATTATATAAAATTTTACTTTTTTTTATTTATTTATCCACTCATAAATTGTAAAGGCTACTATAGCGGCATCTTTCTCGTATATTATATAAATTATTTATTTTGATGGTATTAATGATTTTCTATAAAAATATATATATATAAATAGAGTCAAATTTTATTAATTTAATATTCTAGCTACAAAAAAATAATAAAAAAAAAATTTGAAACTTATTTACAGTTTGGGCAATTCGGGTTTAATTCGGGTCGGACTTGGACATACAATCTCGGGTTACAATTTGAACTTGGGTAGATCTCAACACAACTTGAATTAAGTTTAAACAACCTTCTAACTCAGCCTCCGTTTGGCAAGAAAAAGCCCAGGCTTTTTTGGCTAAAATAGCCACAAAAAACAAAATAGGCTATTTTAGCCACAAAAAACAAAACATCAAATCCAACCCATAATCATTACAATCCTCTCTCACAAAAAAAGCCAAAAAAGTCAAAAAGCCAAAAAGTCCTTCCCAAACCAGGCTAAAATAGCCCAGGCTAAAATAGCCAAAAAGCCAAAAAGCCAACCCACTTCCCAAACGGAGGCTCAATCTAACCCGCCTGAGTTGCACCCTTACCGCAAATGCAAATCAAAAGAACAAGGTTACAAATGTAAGACTGATCGTCAATCCCTGACAGAACCGGTTCAACATAGTCATCAGTTGTCCCAATTGATTTCTACCGATCTAACATTAACATCAGCAACACACTCAATAATTAATTACTACTTTAAATGTGTAAATGAAGGTTATTTCAAATACAACTACGAAATTTTCAAATAACATAAACAAAATTTCATTTCCTTGACTTTTATAGAGATTAGAAAAGGGGGGTTTGAAAAAATACGGTTGCGTTTGGTAGAGTTTTTTAAATATGATTTAAGAATATAAGTTATGTTTTGAGTTTGTAAGTTTTGAAATTATGATTTGAATGTAGAAAATTTGTTTGGTGAAAGAGTTTTGAAAAGAGTTTTTGAATTGTGTGATGTGACATAATTTTTTATACAAAAACTTACAACTCATAACCAAACACACAACCTAAAATTCTATTCAAAACTCATAAAAAAAATTTAAAAAAAAATTGAAAATATTTTTTATTTAAAGTATAAAAATAACAGGTGCAAAAAACAAAAAACAAAAAAAAATCATAAACACTGTTTCGGACGACCGGAGGACATCCGGGTACACAAATTTTCAAATGCGGATGTAGAAATGATTTTTGAAAACTGTAATAATTTTTGAAAACTATAAACAAACACCGCACTCAAACTAAAAGGTAGAATCATGATTCAAAAGTTGTACCAAACACAACCTACATTTTCATGTGCTTTTCTACCCTTTAGGATCATCTCCTTCACTATTGACACCACCATTAAGCATTTTGCGTGGAAGCCGTCCTCTTTTTCTTTTCATATTCTTACGCTCCATGGAACTGTAGTAAAAATCATTAATAGGTACAGTTATTCCAAAATGAATGAAGAGGTAAAAAAAGCCGAGAAAAGTCAGATTTGGCCAAATCAAATGTAGTCCTTTCACAAAGGTGTTTGACGCATAAAAAAAATCCATTGAGAAGTCAAATTTGCTTAATGACAACCTAACTCACTTTTAAACCCTAGCATTATGCATCACCACGATTTCCTTGTCCCAATACAGTAATGAATTATGCACACAGAAAGTTGGGATTCATAGCAAGTAGAAGGTATACTTCAGTGACGACCAACAATATGCATACCGAAACTGAAATTTATACGACCAATTTGCAGAAGACAACTTTTTGCATTTTAACAATGCCATTATCCCTTTCCTGGTTGAAAGCAAATTACTTTCATAATTTGAATTCGTCATTTCAAATCATGTCCCTAATACAAGCCATAATCCCTATAATACCACATTTTTGTCTTAAAACAATACATGTTTCACATTTCATTTAACCAAACAAACCCAACCCAAGTGTATTACAAATGTCAAACAATCAAATCGTCCAATTAGAATTTTTTTTACTCCAGTTGGTTATACTAGCATAGCTTTTGAGGTTAACTCATAGATAATTCAAGAGGTTTTCAGTTGTAGATCGTCAAAAAAAAAAAAAAAAACGGAAGGTAGAAAACAGGCTAGATAAACTGTACCTTTTAATTCCATTAGTGTCTAGATTCCTTGAAGTAGCCTTTTGCATGACACTTTTATAATACTGAGTAAATGGAGCATTGAGACTGCCCTTTTCAAGCTGCACATCAACCATTTATTGAACTCAGGAAACCTGAAGAAATGATTCAACGGATTGATGGTCTTTTGGTGAGAAAGCCAAGTCATCTTGTTTCTTCTGCACAAACTCAACATTCTGCTCGACTTGCAGCACCACAAAATTGTTTCAAAAAACAATAACAAAAATAGAATAATATTAAAAGCCATTAGACCATTGAGATTCCCAGGCCAAGTAGGGATAGATTTTTAGAATCGGTTTTTACAGGCCTCAACCTATTACAAATTTAAAGTTGTACAAGATTAGAATTACAACACAGTACATAACTGATCAATCAAACACTTCACCACGCGCCTCAAATTTTCAGTGGTTGCTATTTCATGAAACCTTCTAAGGCGGATGAGTGGAATAGCTGATAGCTCGGGGAAGGAGATGTGGTAGCTCCACTGAGCAAAGTGCACAGAGAGTTGTTCAACAGCAGAGAAAACACATTCCTCTTGAAAGTTCTGAGATTTTAACCAATGTTTTGGCAACTGCACCACAGGTGAGTTTGTGGAAATAATTCTTAAAGAACAATGTTGGAACAATCTTCTGTGTAAATAAAATAAATTGAAACAAAACCAAACAAATAAATAAATAACGTACCGAATTTATTTATCAAACCGAATTAAAAATTAAAAGACCAAGTCGAATGTGTGATACTCCGTCCTTAAGACAGATTCGTCTCGTTACGGTTCTTATAGTTAAGTGGCGTCTATCTCTCAAGATACAATGATCTTCATAAATTTATAGTAGCACTCCAAACAAATTTGTCCGGCGAACTAGAACTTAGTGTTCTATACTCTCTTTAATTTTCTCTAACACTAGAATGAAGAATAAAATCCAACGGAAAAATATGGATTGTAAAAATGAATTTTTCTAACTGTTTTTTGGATCCCAAGACTGCTGGAACAGATATGAATTTATAGGCAAAAATTCTGTCCCAAACAGGTACATCCAAGAAGTGAACAAGTGTAGCTTTGAATTTGAACATATGCTATTTGAATTCAAACAGATCTGCAAACTATTTCAACAAATAAACTGCTGCAGTTATTTATCTGTTCAGAAACTGTCCAAAACCGAATCTGTTATGGTCTTTTTGAACCTATTGGACATGGACCGAATGAGGAAAGAAATTAGAACAGAAATTAAATTCAAATTTGAGTTTAATTAAATTTTCCCGCAAATAATTTTTGAAAAAATTCAAAAGAATTTTGTCCAAAAAATTAATACAAGAACCGACCCGACCCATAACCCACACTCGCACCCGGCACGGCCCAACCGGACGGCGGCGGCGGCTCGTGTGTGGTGGTTTGGGCTAAGGTTCATTTTGTTCATAACTTCTCCCTTCTACAAACTTGGGGTGCCCCTTGGGGCTCAACCTAAGTATTGTACTCTAGAGCTTACATACATACACAAACTCTCTTAAAGTTTCAATGTGGGACAACCCATTTCAAGGAAAGCCATATTTACTTCTTTAATTGTCCATTCCATGAACTCGAAAACGACGTTAACTTCTCATTCACTCATAAATGATTTTGACGAACCGTTTTCACTGTGTGACTTACCATGCGGCAAAGAACACGTCACCTTTGGGGCCCACTCAATTTTGGGCTCAAAGTTGGCCCAAAATAAGCATTATAAACCCAATTTTCCAACAATCCCCCACATGAATGGAATTTGACGGAGAGAAAATGCAATAACATGATCTAAATACAGAAAGTACAGAAATTGGAAATATTCTGCAAAGGATATGTAGCTTTTGGCTTTGAACCTTCCCTTGTGAGACACTATCGGATTTACTAACTAACCAGTGAACATGATGTCTTGAACTGTTCAGCCGTTTGTGTAAACTAAGACAATAGAACTCACACAGTATATCTCCAGATACAGTTTAGTTCTCACTATTGTGTTCATTTTGGCCCTGAACAACCTGGTCTTTCATGAGTACTCTAGAGAATTGTAGCCCTTCACAAATCTCATGGAACCAGCCCAGTTCACACTCACATAGGTGATTCTTATGAAGAGTATCCTGCTTTACTCCACTAGGTTTACCTAGATATAAGAATCATTAAAAGTATTACTTAACCTAAAACGTTGCAAACATCACTATTTCATCATAGAAATAGGTAGGAGTTTGACTCCCCAGCGATCCTTATGAGTCATTCACAACTCGGTTGTCCCTTTGATCCTAGATCTTGGGATCTCCAGTCAACTAGGTTGTGTTGCCGTTGTTGTAACTCTTATTTAATAGGCTTAAGTCTCATTCCCCTCGATAAATTCTCAACTAACTCTCTTGCTAACCCTTTTGTTAGTGGATCTGCTATATTGTCTTTAGACTTCATATATTCAATGGAAATAATTCAATTAGAAAGTAGTTGTCTCACGGTGTTATGTCGACAACGAATATGACGTGACTTACCGTTATACATATGACTCTATGCTCTACCAATTGCTGATTGACTATCACAATGTATGCAAATAGCAGGCACCGATTTTGGCCACATTGGAATATCTTCAAGGAAGTGACGAAGCCATTCTACCTCTTCCCTTACTTTGTCTAAAGCTATGAATTTTGATTCCATAGTAGACCTAGCAATGCAAGTATGTTTGGAAGATTTCCAAGATACAGCCGCCCCACCAAGAGTAAAGACATATCTATTGGTGGATTTTGAGTCTCTAGTATCTAATATCCAATTTGCATCATAGTATCCTTCAAGTATTGTTGGATGTCTAGTATAATTAAACGCAATGTTACAAGTAAATTGGAGATATTTAAGAACCCTTATAATTGTTTTCCAGTGTTCTACTCCTGAGTTACTCGTATATCTACTTAATTTATTTACTGCATAAGCTATATCCAGGCGAGTGCAGTTCATCAAGTACATTAAGCTTCTAATAATTTGGGCATACTCTAATTAAGAAATACTTTCCTGTACATTCTTAGAAAGAAACAAATTAATATCCACAGGTGTTAGATGATTATCATCTTTGCTAAATTTGTCAAGTATTTTCTTAATGTAATGAGATTATGACAAAGTATAACCTCCTGATGTTTTGGTAATTTTCATACCAAGAATTACATCAGCAATGCACATGTCTTTCATGTCAAAATGTTTATTCAACATTTTCTTGATAGTTTTAATCATGTCATTATTACTACCTATGATGAGCTTATCATCCACGTAAAGACATACAATGGCATAACCTTTGTCTTTATTTTTAATATAAACACATTTGTCATACTCACTAATTTTAAATCCATTTGACATCACTGTCTTGTCAAATCTCTCATGCCATTGCTTTGGTACTTGTTTTAAACCATATAATGATTTAACTAATTTACACACTTTGTTTTCTTTTCCTAGAACAGAAAAACCTTCTAGTTGTTCCATGTAAATTTCTTCATCTAACTCACTATTTAAGAAAGCGATTTTCACATCCATTTGATGAATTTCTAGATTGTATAGAGATGCAATGGCAATTAGCATTCTAATGGACGTTATTCTAATAACCGGTGAGTATGTGTCAAAGTAATCTAAACCTTCTTTTTGTCTAAAACCTTTGACCACAAGTCTTGCCTTGTATTTGTCAATTGAACCATCCGCTTTCATTTTTCTTTTGAAAATCCACTTGTACCCAAGAGGTTTACAACCTGGTGGAAAATCCACAAATTTCCAAGTGTGATTTTGCAAGATGGATTCAACTTCACTATTGACAGCTTCTTTCCATAAAGGAGTCTCAGGACTAGACATTGTTTCTTTAAAAGTTAAAGGCTCATTTTCTAACAAAAATGTTAGAAAATCTGGACCAAAAGATTTTGAGATTCTAGCACGTTTACTACGCCTAGGTTCCTCTTCATCAACTTGATCTATGTCTAGCTCTTGATCTTAATCATGTTCTTGATCCTGACTAGTAATAGCATCATGAGATCTTTTATTGTTACTAGTCTCTTGGCCAGTCTTATTTGGAAATACATGTTCAAAGAAAGATGCATTTCGATATTCAATAATAGTATTTACGTGCATTTCGAAATGTTCTGATTTGTGAATCAAAAATTAACATGCACTACTATTCTTGGCATAACTAATGAAAATGTAATCAATGGTTTTAGGACTTATCTTAGTCTTTTTAGGACTAGGAATAGCCACTTTAGCCAAGCACCCCCACACTTTTAAGTCTTTGTAAGATGGTACTCTCTCATGCCGCATTTCATAAGGTGTTTGATTCACTTTCTTTCGGGATACTTTATTTAAAGTATAATTAGCAGAAAGTATTGCTTCCCCCTACAAGTTCTGAGGTAATCCAGAACTTATTAACATGGCATTCATCATTTCTTTTAAAGTCCTTGTTTTCCTTTCAGCAATTCCATTTTGCTGAGGTGAGTAAGGAGCGGTGGTTTGATGAATTATTCCATGTTCTTTACAAAACTCACCAAAAGGTGATTCATATTCACCACCTCTATCACTTCTAAGTTTTTTTATTTTCTTACCAAGTTGATTTTTAATTTTATTCTTATATTGAATGAAAGTTTCCAAAGCTTCATCATTGGTTCGAATTAAATAAACATAACTATATCTAGTATAGTCATCTATAAAAATGATAAAATAATTTTTCCCACCTCTTGTTTGAATTGATTTAAAATCATAAATGTCACTATGAATTAATTCAAGTGGCTCCGAACTTCTTTCAATTGAATGAAAATGAGTTTTGGACAATTTTGCCTCAACCTAAATTTCACATTTATGATTTGAATCAATGTCAAATTTAGGTAAACGTTCCATATTAGTTAATATTCGCAAAGATCCATAATTAACATGTCCTAATCTACCATGCCATAAATTTAAAGACTCAAGCAAGTAAGAAGAAGATGTATTTTTATTAATAAGTGAGGGTACAACGGTCATTATATTCATCTTGAAAAGGCCATCAGACGTATAACCTTTTTCTGCATACAACCCATTCTTAGTAAGTACAAATTTATCACTCTCAAACACTAGCCTAAACCCATTATTGCTCAACAAAGATCCAGAAACAAGATTCTTGCGAATCTCCGGTACATGCAGCACATT